TATAACTAATTTTACTAATAACATAATTTTTTTCTGTGTACTACAATAGAATAACATATTTTATTTGATGGTAATCAAATATATTATTTGGGTCAGTTCTTTTTATGAAAAGACGGATGGAAGACCATGGAAGTTGGAAAATACAATAAAAACTTAAATGAAATTAGACCCCGCCTGGAACGTGTAAAATTCGTATTAAGTTAACTCTAATGAATTCCGGTTAAGCTATAGTGTAAATAAAATAACACGTTCCACATCCTCCCTAATCCCTTTCATCCTTTGAATTAGTGGATTCTTGAAGGAACCGGATCTATTCAGCGTCCAATAAAGAAAGCAAACGAATTCTTCTTGGTTAGTTAAGGACTTAAGACATAAGAATTTATGTAGCTATATTATGCAGTTGAAATTATTACAATTTTTTATTAAAATGTAGGAAAGATAAAACACAACGTCTATTCTTTTAGAAGTAAAATGGTTGATCTAGTTGTTGGAATTTTTTTCCATTTGAAAACTCGTTTCGAAATAAAAAAGCACTATTAAGGGACCCCATGAGGAAACTTGAAAAAACAAAAAAAATCTTTAAACCTTAACACGAACTTTCCGTGCTCCTAATTTTAAAAGGTCTTTCTCTAAATTGAAAACTAAAGTTTTTTGTGCTATGCTATGCTCGCACTGGACGGCAAAACATATAGATTTTAATTATTGTCATGGTCCCCAAAAAAAGGTTTTACAGTGCACTTTTTACACTCTTTGGTATCCAGATTGGTAATTAAAAAAAATCGTGACAAATACTTTGAAATATTACAATTTGCAGCTTTTAAAAATTAATGCAAAATAAAAAAATGGTAAAACATTCATGCATTTTACTTCTTTTTGTTTATATGCACATTTTGTGAATTTCTTTATCAGATATTATTTTTTTCCAAGATTATAAAAACCAAATTTTAAAGCCTACAATTAGACAGAAAAAATAAACTTTTCACGCAATACAATAATAATATTAAAATTTTTTGTCAATAATTGTTCAGTAATATTTCAATTACTCGTATCAGCAAAAAAACAAAATAATATCGTGTGCTGATTTACGACAAATTCATTCACATGGATCCATATAACTTGTATAGAATGTGCGCAGCATAGTAACGCTATGTTTCTCTGCGTTATCTGGGGCCGCGTATTTTACAAAATGATATGTGTATAAATTTGCTATTTGTAGCAGTTTCTTCTTTATTAAAATATTTTCAACTTCAATATTTTTTGTTGTTAACCAGTCAATACTTAGCTGTTTTCTTCAAGAAGAAGTTGGAGTCGCATCACACCACTTTACCACATCATTTCAGCATGATAGTCATATAGCATGAATGAAAGATTGGCAAACCTTTTAAAAATCCTTTTACGCTCCTAATTGGAAAAAGACTACTGGGAACGGCTTAACAGCACATCATCAAAGTATGTTGAAAGTTGAAAAATACTTACCTCTCGCAGAGGACGTCAAAAACTTTTTTGTTGAGATAAGTTGAATAGTTAACAGGTTACATTGGAAGTTATTTATCATCCGCATATGCCTGCAATTAACTATGATTATCAGAATTAACAATTTTGACGTATAAATTAAGGACTTCAAAGGCAATCCAACCTTGCGCTGTGCCAAAAGTGACCGTATCGAATTTCGACCACTAGTTATTAAACTTAACTCTTTGTAGTCGTCTGCCGAAGTGTGATTTCGCCAGCCCAACATTGCACGGATAAGTTCATAAGATATAGTGTTAAATGCTTTTGAGTAATCGAAAAGTAATAGGGCTGTGGCCGTTAAGTTTTGCTTTTTTTTTTCATTTTCCTTTACTCCGTCAGAAAGTGGAATAATGATCTAAGAAACCAGGTAAGATGGAAAGTCGTTAAAAATCAAAACAAATGTAGTTACAATCAGATTAACAATAGGGATCAGAAATTTGACTAACATATGGCCGAAACAAAAAGCGCAAGGGACCTCTTTATTCCCCTTCTCTGATCACAAAACTTAATGTAAACCCTTTTGGTGTACTTTTAAATACCAATAGTGCCGCAACCTCAACCAAACGACTCAATTTCACCCTCGTGCATTATCCGTCCACTTTTCGCCGTTTTCTACGATTTATATATGAAATTTCGCTGAAACAGGCTGCAACAATTTATAGTTTTATGTGGTGCACACGGGACTGCGATCGCAGCCATTTATCTCTGAATGTTAGTCGGGCTGACGTATTTCGAAGAATAAACTTGACGCCGCTTGACGCGTAGGTGTTATAACTGAACAACACCTTTATTTGCCGAGAAATGATGAAAGGTCTGTCCTTTTCTGTGAAAGGCGGAAAAGACGCTGTGCCATGACACTTACGAATATGAAGTTATTACTATTTTTTTTAATGTGGGAAACTAATTCATCAAAAACTTTTGTTTTACCAAATAGCTAAAAACGCAACTGTTGATGATTACGCAATACATAATACTTAATAACTAACTTGTTGGTTAGTATATGAACCAACCATACTCCCTTTGAATAATTTATTTAAAAATGAGGTTATATTAAGCGGTGCGTGTTATTCTTTAGTGCCTGTCTTTTTTTGCGAATCTGGTCATTAAAAAATTAATCAATAGCAACAATTGGAAAGCCTACTTTTGGAAGTTCATCTGCAAAAGTTGTAAAATTTAAAATTAATGAATGATAGGACCTGGACCTAACAGTAGTAAAAAGAGTACGTATGATTTACACAGAGAAAAAGAATCAGTAAAAATAAAGCACAATTGTTCTAAATAAATAATTTAATTAGTATAGAGCAATTAAATATCGAATTCGAGATATTATATTTTTTAATTCGTATCTCAACAAAAATATATTTGTTGCAAGAAAATATAATTTTCCAGGATAAGTCTTACACTATAACAAGAAATATGTTTGTATTATTACAATGCTACTTTATTTATTGAAAGGAAAGGGGTATACTAGATACAATTATCATCTATTTGCAAAAACTTTTCGTTGAAGTAACAAAAGTAAAATATTTTCCACCAATGTAAAATTAATTTGCATTATCAGGAAGGAACAATTTACGAACAATAATATTTAATTGAACGAACTGCAGGAAAAGTCGACGTCTTGGCAAAATCAAATTTGCCATCTTCAGATCGGTTTCTTCGCGTAGCTACTTGTCGATACTCGACTCATTTGGATCGGTCACCAGTGAATTGCAATGGGAAACTTTTGTATTGCTAATTAAAAAAAAAATGCCCCTTATAAAAAGTTGTGGTATATGATGGTCTAAAACCTACAATGTCCAGAGATATTAATTTGCAAGAGCCAGAGCAATGTAACCTTAGTGACTGTGGGAATTTGTTCAATGATAAAAATGTGTTTGTTTTTTTTTACTTATTTTTAAATAGCAATGTCATGTTGTACCTACAAGTGAACTCTATTAAACATGAACTATGAACAAATGAAAACTTCGCGTCTCCAATATCCAAATATCGTGGTTAGTTTGTAAATATGCCAAAAACTAGTTTTAAGAAATATAAAAAATTAAATATAGACAAAAAATATGAAGCACCAAATTAAATAAACACTTTTTCAAAGCAACTAATCAAAAAGAAAACATTTATTTGTAAATAGTTTTATATTAAACCGACAAAGTAATTTTAGCTTTAAAATCCTCATCCGCGATCCAATTGAATCTTCCCTAAAAACTATTATTCTTACACCAACACAACCCCTTAAATTATAACAAATAGTCATAAACTTCGAAAAACAGGATATCCAACAGGATCCGTGTTTTCGCTTATATCTTATAAAAAAAAGTTCTTATAAAATATCTAAAAAACTCATTAATGAAAGCTCAAATTTTACAGCTAAATTTACTATTAAGAATTCCACAAAATTAGGAAATTTTAGGAAATTAAATTAAATATACCAATATCATCAAACAAATAGATTTGCCAAACAAAATTATAATGAAAAAGCAATATCATAATTGTTATAAAATAATTTTATAATATTCATAACAATTTATTAATTTTTAACGCTATTATTTACTGTTGGATTAACAAGAGAACTATATATATCGAATTCGTAATATTCTATATACATTTATATTTTAATTATCTGTAATTTATTTGTACCTTATTTGAACACTGCATTTTAAAAAGCTATTATTGTGTTTGGTGTAAACATTCGAAAATACTTACACTTATGGGAAATTGTTTTAAACTCAATTCTAAAACATGAGAGCCAGGAAACACTATACTAATTAGTGACGTAATTTATTTATAAACAGAAAGGCCCGGCTTTAAAACCTTTACGATCAGTACAAGTGGAATAAGGCTAATGGAAGATTGTAAATTTTAAACATAAGCATAAAACAGTACTAAAAACAAGTATCTTTACCTAACTTATATCGTGCCTTAGCTATTTAAAGCCAGCCGTTATAGTTTGATACTTCTCTTAGTGATTACAATCTAAAAAGGACTATCGTATGTTCATTTAGAAGTTGAATTAAAACTAAAATTTCCTACTGGATTTTAAACCTGGTTAAATATAATGCAATGGAGATGTGATGGCAGTCCAAATATAAGCGGGAGTTTTATAGGGATGGTAGTAGTACTAACAAATTTTTCCAGAATTGTGAAAAATGTTTTAAATGTAAAAATAAAACTCTCTAAGTAAAGAATGCTCCAAGAGGATTTTCAGGTTGTTTTAAAAAAATGTATTTTCGTAAATGTTCAGAAGTTAACTAATTTTAGTTTGCCGCGTAAGATTACTTAATTTTCACCTCAAATTCTTGATCACTGACGTAAAAAACCCCCCGGTATCGGGTTGCAAAAAGCGAGTATTTTCTAACCACAGCGTTCATCTGAAAAGCTACGCACTCGAGACAATAACAAGCAAATTATTACAATTGCGTTTTGTAAGAACCAACAACTGATTTGGAATAAAAAGTCATTTATTTAAAAATATTATTCTGTTGTTGCAGTACCGAACAAATTCCCGGAGCGGTATCTGCAGCAGGTTCTGCGAGAACCTCAGGATCATGCAGCTTGGCATCTTCCAGAGAAAGCTCCACATCTGCTCCAGGTCCCGCCCCGTTTAGAGTTCTAATGGTCGGTGGGCCGGCCGTCGGCAAATCATCTCTGGTGTCGCAGTTTATGACCAGTGAATACCTTCACGCCTACGATATGAGTTTGGGTAAGCCTTTACCACTTGGAATCTTAGAAGTCGGCAATAATTGCCGCTATGATCAACGTACTTGACACCTTCAAATGTTTATTTGTTTTTTTATTTGCGTTTTCGTCAAAGAAATAACATAATAATTGCTTTCTAGTTCCCATTTACCATTCCAATGTTTTTCAATCATAGCTAACCAATAAATATTTTAGGTAAATATAAAAAAGTAAGCTTTCTCCTAAAATATGAATAAGATTTACCATACATAATGCTCTACTTGTCATATTTCTTAAGACTAGTAGAATAAATAACTGATCTCATGAACTGCTGGCAAAGTATTGACATAAATGAAAATAGCGCACAAGAAAACAATAATATCAAATAAATATATTTTGTCGCATTTCTAATAATTATAATGTTCACAGTGTATGAAAGTCTTTGAGGTATTCATTCTTCAAACTGTAAGCGAATGTAAAATGACATTCATGCTTCTCTTAAAATAGTACATCGTGTTTTTCCAAATGGAGCATTTATTGGACAACGCGATGCTTGCAGCTGGCAGTTGCAATTTAAATTCACTGAAGTAAATAATTGAAACCTGCATTTTCGTTTACATTTGTTATGTGCAGTATTTTCGAACAATTCTGCTATCAAACAAGCGGTGCGAAGAGAACATATGCTATGAGCTAAATACCTCAGTTTAGATACTTTCGACAATTATTATAATAATTATTTAAATAAATATATTATAGATATATAAGAACATTTTAAAAAATCCATTTCCAAGAAATAAAAAATATTGGTACTTAAATAAAAATGCAATTTCTCATTTTAACTAAAATTATTTTTGTGTATGCCAAGATGTCCCATAAATGCCTAAAAAAAGTAATGTTGCATTTTTTCTTAAGTATGCTGAAATTGATTTCAAACGTTGCATAATATGACTGTAGCTTAACCTAATCTTTTTTTGGTATTTGCCATTTTGCTAAGGTTTATGACAAATATTTCACTCTTTAATGGAGAGTTGCGATTTATTTGACATCTACAACACTTAATATTAAAATGCCTGGGTAAAACACGAAATGTTTAAAAACGTTCATTCATAATGACGAAATCGTATAAGTAATTACTCGGTAATCACTTTTTATTATTCAGGACAGTGTCGGATACCAAATTTTAGATAAAATATTCCAAATACAAACTTGTCTAACATCACCATTTTCTGTTCTAAAACTATTGTTAGGCGTCGAAAGAAAATATAGATGGAAACATTTTACAACGTAACGTATATGTTTGGTGTTCGTGTGATGGAATGATTTCTTCATTTGCTTTCGTAAAAGCTCCATTACCCGTGATGTTATCGCGGGTGTTACCGCTACTCCAAGAGGACAACATAAATTTGTTTCCCACTGTAGCAAGCTACAAAATTCCTCTACTGCAATTTTTAATTTTTCTGCAATGCATTAACTATCCATCTTTGAACATAAACAATGATGGATTGACATCCCGATTATTTAACGTTATATTGAATTGATATTTATAATTTATAAGTGATTTGAAATTGAAAGTTTTTCCAGAGGTTATCATGCTGTAAATTTTATTTCTTAGAAATGTTTAAAGATTTTTATGATCAAATAGTACTACCTAATGAATTCAGTAAGGATTATATTTGTAAATAAACTAAGTTAACAACGAAAATACCTTTTCGTTCTCCACATTTATGTAAAGGAACAACAGAATGAAAATATCAGCAAGGTTCTTGAGCTCCACTCTTGGGTCGCCTTTCCTAAATTTTCCTATTTCTCTTAACAGTCTATTCGATAACTGTCGTCAAATAATTGTTGAGTTTCTAGCTGCTTCTATTATAAGGTTACATGTTGGTTATATAAGAAGAAACAATGCAAAATTATAGATATCTATGTACCTGATTGAGAGTACTTTTGTTATATCTCAATAGTGTTATAGATAGCACTGCTGCCGGTTTTGAAATATCATAAACTCTCTTTGAAGTGCTTTGTTTCATAGATGGCAATAACAGAATTTGATTATATAGAATAGCACAAAAGTCACCCAAAACCAAAAGCTCGTAATACAACTAAGCCACCGAAACATAATCAACGATGTAAAAAAATCAATGCGACAATGGTTTTTGGCTTTCCTCTACCTCCTAATTTTCATAAATCTTTTTCTGGAAGGTTGGCGATCGAATTGGCTGTTGGGAAATGTAGACCGAAATATTTATATGGATGAGGTCTTTAAGCCGTAAGGGTTGCCGTCTTCTTATTTAGAATCTGGCCTCTATCATCAGCATCAGATATTGTATTTTTCACTCGCACCTAGAAAGCTTCTAATCTATTTTCTGTTTGAGCATTGAGTGTCCAGCTCTCATATCCATATAGCAAGACAGAAAAGATGTTGATGTATATGTATACCTTATTTTGTAGCCCAGATGTACCACTACATAAACATAAATCTACGAATTTTTATGTTTCTTTAGGGAACAGTCGCCCCATTTAGCTGTAGAGTTCAATATAAATTTTTCGCTTCAGTATTTGAAATAAATTATTTTATTAGATCAGTTTTCTCCAAGCTTCTGCTGTCTGCATGTTAAAGGGTTACTCATATACGTTCCAGGGGTAATATCTTAATTAGCATGCATATTAAGAGCTAAGTGATGTACGAAAATTTAATTACTGTCATCGTTTGTTGCATGAAAAAATAGGTCAGGAGTGTGAAAACCGCAACTTCATTAACAACCGCGGTTCCCCATGCCATATACTTGTATTGTTATATACTTTTTGCGTAAAGATTGTTGTTATAAATCGTTAATATAATCAGTTTAGACCGTTTTCATGTTTTTTCTATCTGGTTTCATTTAGAAATGTTATTTATTGTATCTAATAAATGTTATTCTAGTTTTATCAATTAAATTACTCCTAAAATTTTACTCATTTCGCAGAAACAATCTCTCCTTCATTGCGATTCTAATATGTCAAGGGGATCCCTGATATCGATTATATTATATGTCAAGGGGATCCCTGATATCGATTATATTATTGACACTCGGAAAGGTTTTGCGAAGATGCGCATAAAATGAACATTAAGAGAAAATATGCTGCACATCATCTTTTTTATGATCGTAAGGATAATGTATGTAATGTTATCACATATCAGTTTCAAATATTTTTGGGTAGTTCTGAGCTGTGCTATTATTGTTGTTATTGGGAAAAAAGACTTTTGCAACAAATATTTGGAAAGAGTTTTGTAAGTTAATAGCATTTCTCTGAACGAGGTGATTTCTAGACTTTTAAGTTAATTTACCAATGATTATATATATATATATATATATATATATATATATATATATATATATATATATATATATTCTCACGTATTGATTCACGGATGGAAAAATGTGATGACACTATATTCCGGGATATCATACGTTCGCTCGTTGAACTCCGACTGGAATCCTGCAGACGTTTCGCCAAAATCTCACTTGGCATCTTCAATGCTCGCGCTCCGAAAACACTTCGAACGTCTGCAGGATTCCAGTCGGATGCAGGATTTGCAGGATTCCAGTCGGATGCAGGATTTGCAGGATTCCAGTCGGAGTTCAACGAGCGAACGGATGATATCGCGGAATATAGTGTCATCATATATATATATATATATATATATATATATATATATATATATATATATATATATATATATATATATATATATATATATATATATATATATATATATATATATATATATATATATATATAATGTTTTATATGTTTATATTTTACGTTTTTTTTGACAGTTTTTTTAAATCAAGCTTTTATTATCGATTTGACAACGATAGATAAACTGCACTCAATAGCAGTTATTCACTTCGTCGTATCATTAATTTGTTTTACAAGTTCAAACAACAAATGCAAATTTTCTTACAGTATGCGAAAAGCAGTACCTCCAGAGCTACATTCCAGTGGGTTCATCAGTAACGTTTCATTACAACTAAGTTTTTCTATAGGCCTTTAAGCGAACAATAAAACATTATTTTCCCAAATTCATCCATCCATAGCTATATAGCTTTATCTAGGTTTGTCCCTCTGCTTAGACTCAACAGCTCTTTTTGGCACAGTCGACATTCAGTCGCATTAGAATTAGATACGGATTATGCTTACTGCCTCTCTTCTGTAGCTTAGCAGGGCAGTAGCTGTAAATTGGCCGATCTTCTATTGACGAATTTCCTGGCATGTCTCTCCGCCATTTCTGGGATTCTTTTGCCATCCACTTTTCCAGCTTTTCAAAAAATCTAGGTTTCTAAAAAAAAAACTATGACACTGATATCACAAAGACTAAATTATCTTTTGTTACTCATTTTTTGTACACAAAACCAGATATTCTGGAGAAATTAGAAATCACCAGACCCAAAAGGAGTCCTGTCCTGGAATGCGTTAATGATATTTTCAGTTTTGAGCGGACACATTTGTTTAATAACATAAACGTATGTCTCCGGCTTTGTCTTGTTATTAGTTTTTTATTTTTTAATAACATTTTTTACTTCGTTTTTAGATCTCTCTTTAAATTAAACGGATATGTGCGTTGAAGTTTTTGTATGTGTATATATATTTTTTTAAATTTATTTTATAGATTTGATGATGCCACTGTGCTCGAAATACGTATAACGTTTGATAGTAATAATTTTCGAGACCTTTCCTTGTGGGTGGGTTCGAACCCTGAATTTTAATCAGTTTACAACCAAGCTAGGCATTTTAATTTGTAAATTTTCAGAAATAATGCACGATCAATGGAAGATACCTTTTGACACGAAAACCCACGCAGCACCTAAATCGAAACCATGCGAGGAAAACAAAGAAGTTATTAATATGTGTTTCGAGTAAACTGCGGCAGTGCGGACGGGGGAACTCGCGATACATTTCCACAGAGTGACATTCAAATTGTTTGCCTTGCAGCGGAGAGCGGAATGTTTGGAATCGTTCTCGCTTTTATTCTGTCCGTTTGAA